CGAGGAACCTGATGGAAAGGGTAAAGGTGTCAGGGTCTTCTCTTTGTCTGATGAGGAAGGCTCTATCTTGAGGGATCCTCAGAAGATAGTCTTCTGCTTCAGCTTGACTCAGGTTACTGTAAAACCACCTAAATATGACAACACAAGTTTGTGTCCAGATATTTCTAGTTTCAGTTGCTGAAAAATTATCTGTCATTGAAATTTGTATGTATATGGGTAAGTGATTTAATTTAAAATGCATCTTTTCTTCTTATCCCATTTGGTGGGGAGGCACAAAATTGAGCCAAGGCAGGAAACCATTGAGGCGCAGATTGAATGAAATCTATCATACTTGATCAGATTTTGTGTGTAATACTCGATCAAGGCACACATACTAGGAAAGCACTGCTTGCTTGTTAAGTAGAAGGACCATTGACCATATTCTGAGGAACAGAAGATTCTGTAGTGCTGAATTCTCCTGCTCGTCCTATAGAAACCACACAGAATATTATTATATCAGCATTTTCTTTCGCATTATTTGTCTTTGTGAATATAAGATGTAAGCCTGGTGCTAAACATTTGTCCAATGCAATGTAAAATAAATAAAAAGTTGGTAATCTACCAACCAAAAGAGGAAAAAGTAAGAAAATCCACAATATTACCAGTGTAAGGAAAAATTTAACAGGTCATTTACCACATATACTGTACATGTGTGTGAGAAAATTAATTTAGGACCAAGCTTCAAACTTTTTTGTGAAAGAATTTTAAAAAAGCAAATAGTGAAAGGCTGGGCAGAATAAGTACCACAAGGAGATACTGTAGTTTCTGATGACTTTTTAACTCTCTCGCACAAGGAAGGTTCCATCTTTTCCCTTCTTCCCTTGACAGAAATCACGCAAGAGTTTTTCAGCGGTTATTCTGCCTTCAGCCAACGGTCCATGAAACCAGGGCTCAGACAGGTGCAGCTCTGAGCTGTCCTGAATGTTTCAGAAAGAAGAGTTCATGAGCAAATGTGAAAGTGTGTAACAAACTTCTCAAAGTGGCTCATCTTCACAGGACTTGAACCGACTGGACAATGAGTCACTTATCCCAGGACTGTCTTCCTCCCACTTCTCTTCAGAATAGTACAGCTTATTATCTGAGATCACACAGTCATGCCTGTAAAACCTCTACATTAAAAAATATATATTATAAATTATCATCTATGAATAAGTTGTTATTATTACGACTATGAATAAGTAACAGCAAAAAAGCAGATCAGATTTAAATGAAATGAAAGCACCGTATCTATTGGATCCCAGATGCAAAGCTCTCCTTCCTTCTCCACTACATGGTTTTCTTTAGCTTTCCTTATCTGCTTTGAAATATGAAAAATTATGAATTGACCTAAATCTGACCTAAAAACTTCAATCAGATCCTTTAAATTTGACACACTGTTGGCAAACAGATTTTAAGTTTGCTGATGGAGAAAAATTATGATATGGAAAATAAAAATAAAGCACAGTAAGACATATGTGTAAAACGTGCACCTTCTCCCTGTAAGTGTTTCCAATTTTCTTGAAACTGTCTAATTTTCTTTTCACAGCCGTTTCCCCTTTCTTCTTACACAGTTGTTCAGAGCAAATAGAAAATTACTCAAGATACTTCGTAAAATGAATGCAAACTTGCATGTGCATTTACAGCAGATTTGGAGAAATTTTGCATTCCATGACTTGCTCACTGATGGATGCTTTGTAGTGAATGGGTGCCGTCAGAATGAGAGTCCAAACAGCTGATAAAAACATCACAATAATCCACATGATTTATATAAACAAATTCATCATTAAGACATTTTCCACTGTAAACCATTCTCTCTGGCTAAAGTACCTCTATCCTTAATATTGCTTGCTTTCTCAAATGAAAAAGTCATCTCGTCTGATTCAGGACAGAAATATGCACAGATCAAGCACTGTTTACAAGCAAAAACAGTCCAAAACCATTATAAACAAATATGTCAGTGGATTTTGATGTGAAAGGTTATAGACTTATTCACTGGAGAAAGTGTTTTTTATGGATTATGGACTTGTATTTTGGCCACATGCAATGGTTTAAAATTAAAATGCTTCAATGATGGATTTGTTTCTCATAAACACACAGCTTTTTGCTTGACAAGTAATTTAATCATGACAACTCTCGGAACATTTTAGCATGGTGATGGATATGATAATGTTAATGTATTTGGTCTTGGCAGAACAGATCTGCTACGCTGCTGCTGAATTGCTGCTGCTGTTGGTTATTGCTGTAGTTGTAGATTATTGCTGCTGCTGCAAGCAAGTACAGGAACTTGCTAGTGCCAATGCATATGGCGATACGGTGCCATGAGTATTTAAGACATACTGCTGCTGCACAAATAGCATATAAAATAACCCCGTAGCAGATCTATACAGGTGGAGCTGGGGAAGGTGGAGGGTTTCAGAGAACTCTGAAAGCGCACTGCAGGAATCTCAAGTGAATGCTAGCCAGCCATATAAATGCAAGGCAGTAAGCTCATTGGCTGCAAATGCAGCATGAACCAATCAGCTTGTGCCAAGTCGTTTAACTCTCTGAATATCATCAGTTACGTTAACACCCCGTCAGAATGCGCAATCTAGAGTTTCATGACTGAACTATATATTTAACTGATGGACTGTAGTCGATTACCTGTGGATTATTGTGATGTTTTTATCAGCTGTTCGGACTTTCATTCTGACGGCACCCATTCACTGCAGAGGATCTATTGGTAAGCAAGTGATGTAATGCTATTTCTCTAAATCTGTTCTAGAAATAAGCTCATCTAAATCTTTGATGGCCTCAGGATGAGTATATTTTCAGCAACTTTTCATTTTTGGGTGAACTATTCCTTTAAGTCAGATCCATCTTTATTTTTCATTCATATTACCCACATACAAATGGAATGTACTTCAGTGTTTACACAAAAATAGTGTGACCAGTATTACTTTAAAAAAAATTGCAACTTAATTTTCATATATATTGAATTGAAAAAAAAAAAACAAGTCGGAACTATATGTAGTCTAAACAAAGCCTAAATTCCCCCAATGTGTTACTTAATGGACTTAATTAACATATGATATTAGAAATAAGCATAGAGTTAGGGTGGTTGGTTATGTGAGTAAGATAAGCAGCTGCTTTAATTTTAAACTCTACTTGTGGAAGGTGTGTGGAGGTGTGAAGGTGTGAAATCTACTCCCCCTGCTCTCATTAAATCGTTGGAAATCCTTGAACGTTTCCCACTGGCGAACCTCCTTGAACTCAAAAATGTCCACTACGAATACATAAAAACATATATAGTAAAATACAAAACACTACAGTATATGACTAGTATTCCTTTGAATACATTTCCGTGCTTGCATAGGGCCTAAGCAATTCTTCTGAAAATTGTAGAAACCAAAACACTTTCTTAGACATAGTGTAAAATAACAATACTGCTTTTTTTAAAAAGCATTAATTCCTTTTTTTGATTCAAGTGTCTTTTCAAGGAAGCAACTTACACATTCTGACTATCCTGTCATCGGAGCGTATATCAAGGCCACCTGCATGCTTTCTGTAATGACCTGGACGGTGAGTCTCTCAACCCTATGCTGATACACCATCATTTCAGTCCCCGTCTGCAGATGCTCAATAACCCGTCTCCTCTCATCCTCTATCAGCTCACTGCCGCCCACCATCATTGCATCTGACTCACATGGAGTAAAGAAGCAGAGCTTTTTGCATCAGATTGCTTTTCACTATGTTATGTTTATCAAAACAATTACTGTTAAAAGTCAGATCGTTCATGTGACATGTATTCAGACGCACTTACCTTCCAGTTTCGGTGCGCAAAGCAAACTGAGAAATGACATCTAGTGGTTGTTCTCCAAACCAGTTTTGAAAAAAATCACATCCTGTGGCATAATCAGCTTTCTTATTTCCTATGATGAAAAGCAAGCATTTCCAGACGACAAAAGAGAAAACTAAATCCCCAAACTGTCTACATGAAAGTTACCTGAGAATTGGTTTAAAGTATAGTCAATACCTGTATTTGTAATGCCACAGGCCTCCAAACCAATATTTGGAACGCTGTATCTTCCAAATTCTATGTATAAAAAATGCTCTCAAGCAGACATTTAAAATGTTGTAAGACAAACAGTGGCGTGGACATTTTGTTTTAAAACAGGGGGGTGGAGAAAAATAGAAAGAATTTGTGAGAAGAAGTGGATTTTACTGGAAAGAGAGATATATACTGATGTGCAATTTCCTGAACTTAACAGTGGTCACAAAATATGCTTTCTAGGATTTTTGGTTTCTAGCTTTTAAAATCTCCACATTTAATGCCCCTTTGTTGTGTTTTTCTTTTTTTCTCCCCAAATACATCTCATTTTTATTTCAGTTTTAGTCATTTTAGTACATAAAGTTAAATTAAATAAAAATATATATATATATTATTTGGCAAACAGCTGAAATAAACTTTTTTTGTATTTTATTTTATTTTTGTTAATGTTTATTTCAAATAACCAATCCTTTATGATTTTGGTTGCATTTAAATATAATAGTTGCATTTGCATTTAGTTGCATGGAAGTATAAAACCCCTGCTACATGTATTATGCATTAACCATCATTAACCTCTTCTTGCAATCAGATGTAGTAGACACATGTTGTAAATGACAGCATGATTGCTAAAAATATTTCATTGTTAAAATCAACAAGGTCAGACAGGCTTCTTATATCTTTGCGACACTGTGCACTTTTACTGCCTGTTTTATTATATTTTATATATGGAACACCTGGTTCTTGAGATTTTCTACTTCCTATACTGGCATCGTCCATGGGAAAGTTATCAGTTGTAGTAAGAATGACCTGAAAAGACAGTTTTATTATTATTGTAACAATATATTGCAGTGTTTTTCTTGTTAATAGGCTGAAAATGTACTTTGTACATTTTTCTTAGTAAAAGCTTTATAAGATAATATACAAATAAAAGTACAAAACAATATGTGTCCACATATTTATTTATTTGGTGAGTAGCTGTGTAATTATCAGGATAATGTACAAACAAATGGCAATTATACAAAAAAAAATAAACTAATTTATTTGAGATAATGACTGTCAGACTGTGCATTATCGCTTGCATATCCAACCAAACCTGATAAAACTTCCTCAGCATATTAAAAACAAGATAGAAACCAAATAAATAACGTCTTGTTTGCTATTTAAATTTTTAAGACAATAAGGAAAAGTTTAATACAGCTGCAAATGAAATGTTACAATCAGATGAAGACGATAGATGAAGTTTCACAGTTACAAAAAAAAAATAAAATCCTTCATGCAGTTTTCATGCCTTCAATTTAAAGAGTTTTACAACTTCTGGGTTGTAGCTACACTTTCCACAGAGTATTCACCTATGAGTATTGCTCAGATTCTCTTTGCAATGAATTCCTGTGTGAGCACAAGAGTGAGATGGCTGCAACTTCCTGTTGGGGCCTGTTAGGGAACCAGTAGTAATAGAGCAGCGGAACCGAGAGGAAGAGACCCTTAAGAACATTAGAACCAGGCCGGAAGGGAACTAGACTTTCCTCATGAGTAGAACTTGCTGTTGTTGATTTTTTGCTGTTTATTCATCTTTTTTTCTGAGTACATGAACTGGTTGGAGTGAGTGTCGTAGAGGCAGAACTCGTTGCTTAACTCCGCCTGTTTCTTTTGCAACTGTTTCGAGGAGGAGTAAAGTTCCTCCTGCGCTTTCTGAAGAAACAAGTGAGATATGATAGGGGATTTCCATTAAACTAACACAGTATTCTCAATAAAATAAAATCTTTTCTTAAAATAAATAATTACATCATCAACAAATTGCCTGTTTCAAAATATGTTTCTTACCTCCACCTGCTGTATATCAACATACACCAGTAGAGATGCCAGCTCTAGGTTTTCACTAAAGCCGTTCTTTAAAGGGACGGATCTGTACCCTGTGAAAGCAGCAACTCAGTATTTGTACTTAAATCTGCACAAAGTTTCACAAAAATAACTGGCAATGAAGTTGATAGACTTACCTGAGCGAACACCTTTCACAGGGAACGTAGCCTGGGCCAGGAAATTGGGGTCAGAGAACATGTCCTCCTCAAAGACCACAAAGCGCAGAAAGGTGAGGTCTGGTTCATACACGCTGAAAGTAAATGTCTCCGAAGGCTGATTGTTCGGCCCGAGCCATATAGGGTTCAGTCCGTTATCATCTGTGGACACATTTAGTTATTTACTTTTTAAATGAAAAAAAAAATTGAAAATGAATTCTGCTGCCTCTCAAAAAATTTGGGTTTCTATATATATATATATATATATATATATATATATAT